CCAACGGTGCCCCCCGGGAGCCGGCCGCCTACAGCCCGCGGGAGCAGTTCCGGCCGCTGAACGGATCCTACTACGGCCCCTACATGGGCGCCCAGTTCAGCCCGCCAGGCTGGGGCAGCCCTTTCGACAACTCCCTGCTGCACTGCCTGCCCAGCCGAGCCACCACCCTTGCCGTGAGACCGTCCAGCGCAGGTAAGAGCCAGACGGGCCCCGGACGGGCGGGCTGCTGGGCTATCGAGGCAGGGCCTCAGAAGAAGGCCCTCCCTCCGCGAAGCTTTTCTGCGGAAGGGAAGAATCGGGGCTGGCAGAAAGCGACAAAACCGTTTGCTTGCCAGTTAATGCAGAGTCCCTCTCTTGGGCCCGGTGGTCTTGATGGGTTTTGTTTTACTGATGCTGTTTTTCAGGATTCTGTTTTGCTTTTCGGTGTTGGGTTGTTCCTATTTTATCATTGTTTCCATTATTGTAAACAGGGCTGGATAAAGAGAGGCATATGATATTGTAGAAAACGTGGAAAAATGTGAGCAAAAGCCACAGAGAATTTAGACTGATTTAAAACTGCTCAAAAAGTAGTGTAAAAGAGCCCCCAGCTCTCATTAAATACTTGAGCACTAAAATAAGGTACATCGGTGTGATCAGTTCTGGATGGGTATCCGTTGCTCTTTGTGTGGAGGAAGGCACTGGGTTGAGCACAGCCACAGTAGTGCCAACAGAGTGGTGCCAATGTGGGAAGCACCCCAACCCGAAGGGGCTCCATAGTTGGTAGGGGTCAAACTGCATTCAGCAGTCACAGTGGAAGACCCATTGCTGAGAGTAGCTGGGAATGTTCACTTTTTTACTCTTTTGAAGGCAACTGTCAGCCTTTCTGTGGATTCCCACTCAGGAAACCTGGCTTCAGAATTAGCTCCCCTTGCTTTTCTTGGTGAGCTTGGAAGCAAGTGTTTAAGAGTGGCTGGATCTTGTCTTTGTGTCTCTTTATGAGAGGTTGGGGGTGGGAGGGGGGGCTGAAGTCTGTAAGCATTTTGAATCCCTTTTTTATGGGCATGGTTTCTAGATTGTCAGAAGTGGAAACAAGTGATTGGGATAAATTCCCTTCCTGTCAGCAAAGCCACTGGGATGGCACCTTTGGTGGTAGAATCATGTCTATGGAAAAGGAAAAATAGGTGGGAGAGAAGAGTGAGGAACAAACAATGTTTGAAACTCAGTAAAGCAACGGGTATTTTTAAGAGGAAATTTGTAAGATGGAGGAGATTTTTAAGAGTTTGGCTGTACAGTGCCCTTAGGCATAGTTAATCATAATTAACTGTGATTCACAAAATGCACTAACCCTAAGCTACAAATTATGTCCTAATGTGTTGTATGCATCCAGCCTGTGAGAGGTCCTGGGGGAGGCAGAATGTTTATTTGAACCCCCCAATTCCTACTCTGTAGTTCTTCTCCCTTTTCTTCCCTTCCTTACTGAAGCCCATGATCCAATAAACAGGAGTGTGGAAAGATCCAAAATACTGGAACAACTTTTGGGATTGTATTTTAACTGATGAGATTTATTGGTGAATGAAAAATATATGAATGGGGACCCTCGGAAAACACCTCCCCTCTAAGTGAGGATCTGGGAAGGGGCAAAGCAGTTAAACTCCTTGTCCCCACAGAACACCCTCCTCCCCAAATACACAGACTTGGGACTAAGGGTGACTGGGGCAGATGGTAAGGAAGTGTTGGCACTGGTAGCCTGACGTCATTTTGGAGTGCCAGCCTGACCTGCAGTGCAAAGAAGGAGGAGAGTAAGTTCAGGGGGAAGACCACGAAGAAGCCCTTTACCCCACAAGGGTTCCAGAACAAGTCATAATGTGTGTGGGAGGGAATAGAGTTGTGGAGGCCAGCCCCACAGTGAGCTCCAAAGTTAAGGGAAGGAGGAACCAGCAAGATTTTGCCTGATCTTTTAAAACCAACTTAAGGGGGGCTGGGGAAAGAGCAAATTTAGGGGGATTCCCCCTTGACTCTCCTTGGTGGAGCCAGCAGAGATAGCAAGGGGGGTCTGGCTTCTCTTTCAAATATTTGGAAAGACCCCCCCCCCCCAAAAGGGCTCTGTTGAATTGGGGAGGTGATTGCATAGGGTAGTGTGTGCTTTGCTTGTTTTCCTAGATAAGATGCCTCCCATTAAACTGATATTCAGAATGCCTTGGCATTCAGTCTGAAGCATTTCAGGGCTTGGGACTGAGCATTAAGGCTATGGTTTGATGTGAGTTGACTTGAGAGAAGCACTATGAGTCCCGTTCTCTGTGTGGATGAAAAATCCCATCTCCACAGAAGCAATATTATAATAAAGCTGTGAGTGATCTAGTAAAAGTATACTCATTTCAGTTGAACTTACTGCCCCAAAAAGACAGGTAGGAATCTGGAACAATCCACCTCTGGGAGGTTCACACAATGGGTTAGACCAGACTAAAATGCATTTGAGTGATTTGTGGTTCAACTGTGATGTGGGAACGCAGATGTCACCTCAGTCACCTGTTGTGTGAAACAGGACTTCCCATTATGCCATACTGTAATGTGTTCTATTTGTCTGAGCAAAGCATATTATATGAGGTTAGCAATTGTGTTTTGCTAACCAAAATTTAGCCTGTTGTTGAAAATCTTTTAATCATCTTAGGAATCTGTTAGGATATGTCCTTTTATTTTAAGATTAAGAACCCAGGAAATTAAATAGCAATTGAATAATTTGTGGGAGAAAGTCTTTTCTTTATTCCAAGTGGGAGAAAACTGTTGAATAATTCTGAGCATCTCCAGTTATTAGTTTTAGAATAATATGCAAATGAGAATTAATAACACTGCTGGGGCATTTGAAGTTTCTATCAGAGATAAATCTCTATTTTGATTTCTCCATGTGAAAAACAGATGCCTCAGTACCATATCATCATTACTTTTCTTTTCCTGCTGCCAATAGAGAAGATGATGGTACTAGGATAGATTTAAAAGGAATCAGTTCAAGTTAAATGTCTCATTGTAATTTCTTTTTGCTTATACATAAGAAAGGAAACAGGACATAATTTATTTAAGAAATTTCAGGTTCCAACTTGTCAGTCAGTGATAGTCAATTAATTATTTTAAGTGGGTTGTTTTAAAAAGACTTTGATTAAATCTACACACCTTGAATTTCTCTAGGCAGCCCCTGGGCAGAGTGTTTTGTTACAGTAATATACTTGGAAAAAAGCAGAGTTTAAAAAACAAGCAAATCTTTCTGTCATATGTAATATACAATTAGGTGCATTATTGCTCTCCAAGGACTTGAGTTTACCCCAGCCCACCCCCTATATTTTACTGATCGAAGGTCAGCATTCACTCCCCATGCCTCTTTTCAAATGGGAAACTGCTATTAATGTTTCGGGGGGAAAAACACGTTTAGTTTTTCACCAGAAAGGTGGGAAATGGCGCATCCAGTGCATTTCAGAGAAATTTAAACAGAAAGAGATAATTGTTAATTGAAGGTGGAATGAGGGAATAACTTCTAATCTTCAAATGCCACTTCCACGTACACACCAGATCGCGTTTTTGAAAAGGATTTTGCAACCAATGCAGTAATGCACCTGGTGGCATTTTCAAGACCTCCAAATTATTGGACTTCGATCCGCCAAAGGTTATGTGATGCTAAAATGTTAATCTTTACTGTGCAACACGACTCTTGGTTGTACTAACATGGAAGTGGGGTTTTTTCGTTATCGGAGAAATTAAAGAATGTATTTCGAAACCGAAAATCCCACTGACTTCCTTGCCGAAATAGCTTGATCACAACCAAGGTACCTTTTTCCCCCTCAGTAATTATGGTAGAAAAGCCACATAGAAATATTTACTGGGAGAAGGAAGGAAGGAAGGAAGGAAGGAAGGAAGGA